GGGGGGGGGGAGGAGGAACTCAAAATTTGTAGAAAGTTATATTTAAAAAAAAACATACAAATTAATTTAACAATACATGAAAAACTCTTTATAAGTGAATCATTTCCCCTCAGTTTTTAATTATTGTTATCTCATTTTGTTTACATTAAGTACTACGAAACATCAATAATCTTCGGCCATTAGGGAGCCCACGACCAAAGAAGGCCCATAAATTAATGGCTAGAATTTATCAATCGAAATTACTTTTTGATCTAACCCTAGTTCCGCCGCATCCATTACCATATTGTAAAAATTGCTAACCTCGTGCTCCTCTCTCCCTTAACTCCAGATCTACACCAACAATGGCTTCCAAGTCTACCAAGTCAATTACGGCAAGCAGAAGAAGAAGACTAAGTGAAGCAAAAGAAGGAGAAGGTGGCAGTAGGTTCTCATCTTTGTCTTTTCATCTTCTTCAACCAGTTGCATACATCTATTTTAGGCAGTTTGAAGATTTATTTGTACAAAACTTCAGGGTGACGCATAGTCTGAGGCTCGATGTTCACCCAAAAGCATATGCCTCACAGCCTATGTTGCGAGGCATACGCCTCTCACCTCCGCCCCAAGCGGATCTTAATGCACCTTGCACCTGGATGCGCCCTAAAGCGCACCCCAAAAATGCCTTTTAGACCACCGGCCACAGGAAGATTGCTTCAACAGCTAGACCACATGAGAGCATAAAAAAGTGATGCTCATTGAAGCTCGATCTCAAGCTCTTCAAATTCAGATGATGACCATGTGGTGGCCTAAGTTGTCCAATAGTTTTGAACAAATGATGTTTGTAACTTAAATGTCTCTACATTAGGAAGAGGACTCTGAAATTCAATTTCAAAGATTTTATATTTTTTGAGAAGGAAAAGAAATTAAGTAACACCCATTTTAAAGATTTTATATTTCACAGGAAAGTTTTCAGTTTCTAGGCTGAAGCTATCAAGAAGTTGAAAAATTTGAAGTTTGGTGACATTGATGACTGAACTACCAGGATTAAATCTGAATTTTTTGAATCCATATAGATGAAGTTTAATAATGTGATACAGCTAAGTGTCAATTGAGGATCTTAAACCTTCAATAGAAAACGTCCCTTAGTTTGTTGACTACTTGAGAATACTCCAAAGCCAGATATATGTAGCTAGGGAAGAGAGCATGACAAACAACAGCCATTAAATCAAGCAACTACATCTCCAATACCAAAGTAGTAGGGATCAGTTATATAATCATCTATATCTATAGCTTCTATTCGGGTCCGTTCTACACAAAGAACTGACTTCTAAGCCAAGCTAGGAGTTCTTTAAAACTACAGGTTCTCTAAATCTCACACTTCTTATACACTGACATACGAGTCATCCAACTGAAAAGGACTCCTGGCAAACAACAAAAGATTTAAGGCTAAATGCAGTGTGCATATGAAATGTACAAAAGATTGTACCTGTTCAAGAGTATGCTGAGCCAGATCAGTAGTTGATATCATCACTCCAGCAGCAAAAGAACCCAGTTCAAGACTTAAACCCAGCTTATCACTACACTGACAAGATGCAACAACCCATTTTATCCAGTAGGCTATATGTGCTCATTGTCATATGATTGAGAAGTGATTAACTGAAAAACTATCAGGATGAACAGTTAAAGGAAAAAGATAGTCAGATTGCACTGATATGCTACTCAGGATAGTAAAGGGAGACAAACCCCAGCAACAAGCAAGCAGAAAGCCACGGATGCAAGTTGGTACAATTCATTAGTCTGCAGAATAATTCCAGTAAATCAAATATTCATAGTCACCTGAGGAAACAAAAATGATAGTAAAATTATGCATTATTCAAGCAGATGCAAACTCGCCTGTGATGATAGGCCTATCATCAATCTAAGAAACCAAGGAACGCAACTGCGGCATAGGATCGACAAAATGGTCAAGAACATCAACAAAATCACCAACCTGTAATCCAAGGAAAAGTAGCAAATTAAGGGCATGACGGACTGCTAAAACGTTCAATAAATTTACTAGTGTCGGAAAATTTTAGAAAAAAACAGAACTTTTTTTTGAGAGGAGTATCAAAACTAGAATTCAGATTGTATGTACAACAAAATGAAATGCGCCCAAGAATATTCAGGTTGTTTCTCTTTGTATGACACGTACACCTTGGGCACCCACAAAAAAATGCTAATGGCCCTAGGCTGATAAGTTCAGAAATAAAAGCTGCATGAGAATATCAGGTCCAAACCAAGGTGAAATGACTCTATCAGCTGACTTTTATTTGGTCACACAATTCAACCTGATGCAGGACAGTAGTTGACCAACACTTGTCCAAAATTATGCTTAGAATATTAGAAATTAAATAAAGCTACCAACAATAACTTGAGAATTCTTTTACTTGGCACCATAATTGCCATACCTACCGATTACAACAACAAACCCAGTATATTCCCACATGTGGGGTCTGAGGAGGGTAGTGTGTATGCAGACTTACCCCTATGACTCTATCAGCTGACTATTATTTGGTCACACAATTCAACCTGATGCAGGACAATAGTTGACCGACACTTGTCCAAAATTATGCTTAGAATATTAGAAATTACATAAAGCTAACAACAATAACTTGAGAATTCTTTTACTTGGCACCATAATCGCCATACCCACCGATTACAACAGCAGCAACAACAAATCCAGTATATTACCACATGTGGGGTCTGGGAATGGTAGTGTGTACACAGACTTAACCCTACCTAGTGAAGATAGAGAGGCTACATACCCAAGGATTATGTATGATAAATCATTAGCAACACCAAAGACTACATTAGAGCAATATATTATGGACATTCAACGATTTCGATATTATGCATGTAATAGCATAAACGTGTCACAATGATTTGAGCTTGCATTCCAATTTTAGAACTTTTCAACCACTGTTGCTTACACTTTTGCCATGGAAGCCATTCCTTGAAAAACACCAGAAGTACCACCCAGAATAGGAAGCAGTGCAAATAGCAAACCGACTGTACAATCCTGTCAGTGAAACATCTCAAAAGTTCAATAAGGGAAGTATTCTTAATGAAAAAGAACTAGCAAAATAATAAGCATTGAAAATTGTTAGAGCAACTATAGCCCATCCATGTGAAAAATAACGCACCATAAAACTTTTAGTAATAGCAATATCACAAACAACAAAGATGGGAAGCTAAAACACCTGCAGAATAAGGGTTCCAACTGTGACTTGCCCATAGAGAGTGTTAACACTATTTCTTTCCATCAAAAATTTCAACACCTGCAATTTAGCAAGATGTATTATTTCTTCAGTATGTTAAATATGATTTTACTAGGTACAGCACAATGTATCTAATTCAATATTCAAGATAGTATGACTTCCCGAATATGAAATATGCTTATATAGACTGCCCATTTATTCCTTTCGCACTCTTCCCGTTATATCTATCCAGTTAATCGCAATTTTAGGCTGCAAATACGTTGGGAGAAAGAAATCCATAGAGGATTGAGATAGCCTAAGGTCTTAGAGAATATCCAAGAAATATTGCTTGTCTAAATTGTAAAAAGGAATTCCTAAACAACATTTGAAATTACATCTTTAGCAGCAAGTTAAGCACAAAACAGGATGCACGAAGAACTGGTAAGCTTTTGTCATCTTTCTTGTGATTGTAAAAGAATTAAAGTAAATCCTCTTCCACAATTTTCTGTAATACACTTGTTTTAAAGATTATTCAGTCAATACATTTCTCCAAAAATTGATGATCAATTCCAGTCTTCCAACACCCAACCGAGCTCCTAACATTTTGTAGAAACAAGTAAACAACTGATATAGGGTTGAAACTAATGAAACCCAATATAAAAGGTGATCCGTGCATTCACAGCGACATTTCCCTACTTCTCCCCTAAATTATACCATAGTGAATTATATTATTACTGGTAAACTATCCCATTTTTCTCTCCTAAAGTACACCTTGTGTGAACTTAAATTATTTGGAATATTCCCAATCCTCGCCCCTCGTGCAAAAGATGCTATAAGAGTCCATGACAAGATACTTGGCGGTCCAATAAATTCAATAGGAAAGATAAAGTCAAAATCCACAAGGACTTGCCACTGCTGTTGAAGACATTGACAAGAAGACACCCACAAAAACACCCTCAGATGCTTTCCCACCGCATAACTGCAAGTATCAACAAATCACGGTTAAGATAAGGTGATATCAAAGAGCTCAAATTTGCATAGTTGGAGCCTCAAACATTTAGATAAAAGCTTTTCCCGACTGCAGATAACTAAAATTGAACTAGTCATAACAATAGCTCCGAAATAGGTGATGATAAAAGTTGCACACCGAGGCTGTTATTCCACACAAACACATGAAGAGAATTATCTGAAGTGACCCTCCTAACACTGCAACAGCACGAACAATGCGAAGCTGCAATTACAAGTTAAATTGCACATCCTCTTTCAATTTATAAGATGAGACGACAAAATGTTTTCATTTAATAACCAAAAGCCAACCTTTGCAGTGGAAAATTCTAAGCCCAACGCAAAAAGAAGAAAGATAACACCAAATTGAGCAACTGTTTCAACCTGCAAAATTGTACCACAGGAATTCAGGAAACATAAATTTAAAAAGACTGAAAGAATACTAGAACATAGTAGCAATACCATTAACACCACAGGATACATGACCGTCAAACAACAAACACAGTTGATATAAGCCATAAAGCATTGAAACCCAAAACACTTTAAACTGCTGGAAAGTGCTAATAGTATGAAGCAGAACAGAATGTATAACTTCTACACATCTCAATACTCTCAAATGTACAAAATGACTCATTAACACTTAATGGAACACAAACCGCAAAAGCAAAACAGCACGCATAAACATATATAAGTCAAATAAATTCAAGAGAGAAATTTCTGTACACCACATGAATTTTTTTTCTTAGTTACTTGATTGAAGATAACTTGGGAATGAGTTAATTGATTAATTGAATGGTTGATTGAGTTACTTAACTGAAAAAGACATGAAATCAACATACCTGCACCATTTCACTGATAATGTTAAAACCACCAGGTCCAATAATTGATCCTGCCAGCAAATATCCAGTGACAACCTGCAAGACATTAGTAGCATATGCTATAAAACAAGATTCATAAAAGAAGTCAAATAAACATAATCCGCAAGTCAAACAGACCATATGCAGAAGACAGTGAAAGGAGCTATTGCAGTTATCATCAGAACAAGCAAAAGGAGAAGTTATCAGACCGGTTGTCCAGCACACGCGAAGGCAATGCCACCACAAGTTGCAGAAACAATGACAACAACCAGATCAGATATCAATCTGCGAATGGAGTTACATAAAATCAGATCGATTAACAAACTACCCTGATAAATTTGTCTTTCTATTAGTTATTAAGTTTTACAGTAACCAGGATGTGGCAAAGAGGGAGTAAGCTAACCTTAAATCTAGCTGCAGCACTGGAAACTTTGACTTCGGATTAGACATGATAAAAACATTATCCTGATTTATTTTTATTTTTTTGGGAGGGGGGGACCAGTTAGTAAATCGTGTTGTCAGGAATCCATAATCATCTTTCTAGCGGAGCACAGAGGTGATCTTCTCAAAAGAACTTTTGAAGATGTAAGAAGTACCTTTCGATCTATCAATGTAGGCGTATCTTCTGCTCCATTGTCATTATCCAGGTTGAAAACACTCTGCAACTGGAATGACCTAGTACAAAACTCAAAAGAATACCAACAGCATTGAGTCTTTCCATCTTGTGACAACAGGGAGACCTTTAAAGAAGTAGCATAGTATGTAATGAATCTTAAGATAGCATGGCATACTTTTCCTCATTTGTCTCGTTCTTCTTAAACTTGACCCTACCAACCCTAGCAACGGTTTCCAGAACTGCCTGAGAATTGACATGCTTCATAAATGCATATATATATGTTCCCCAGTACTTGGAAATAGGCCATAATCAAAAAAATCAAACTTAAAAAAGCATAATAAGATTCTCTCTTGTATTGCTTTTCTAAATTGCAAGTTCTACAGTAAGATAAGCAAATTGACTAATGGACTAGGAAAAACTGCAATACTCTAAAAATATGTTTTTGGCAATACCTCAAAATGACATACTATGACTACTTTGGAGAATTCGTTTGTAACTCATTTTACTAAAGCAACTAATATTGAAATCCTTCCAGAATTAATGATGACTAATGTATGATCAGAATGTGATAAAAGGAACAGAAATGACGGAGCCAGAATGTCGAGAAGTCCTAGGGACGACTCATTCACAGCTTCCACTGTTGTGGCCTCTTATGTGGCTGAAAATTAACCACTGACTGCCCTTGTTTCATTGGTTTTATGTTTCTTTTTAAGAAAGCAAAGTAATCCATTGATTTCACATCAAGCTGGTATTATCGTTACAAAGTACGGAATCAATGTACTAAACCTCCCAAATTTTAACCATCTGTACAAGCAGGTATTCCCATTTTCCATGGAAAATGCAAAAGAAACATGACGATGCAAGTGTTGGGCCTGGCTATGGAACTTCTAACGACGTGACCGCGCATTGTTGTCTGTATCTGGACATGGTATTGATGATCGTTTTGTCTTGTCGAGACCAAACTCTAGATATCATTTGACTATTAGATGGAACACGAATGTCGAGATAACAAGCTCACCACGACTTGGACAATGGCGAAAAAGTTTTCTGGTCAAACAACTACCTAAACAGAAAGTTATCTATCTACAGCTAGCAACTATGATGCCAAGCGCGAAAAGGAGAGAGAAGAGAGAGAATTAGTTTGAAATTATGAGTAACTACATTCAAGATGGTTCCTTAAATAGAGTTTTAGGGTACGTAAAATAAAGGAAGGTTCCATAATTAATACACAACTATTAGATATGTATTACACAAAATGAAAGCAAACATATAAAATAAATCTTTGCCCACAATTTTGACATAAAAACATCTTCACATACTTCCCCTTTAGAGCTAAACTAAAACTACAAAGAATCTAGCAAATAAATACATAGTAAACCCATTAAACAAGATATCAACATGTCACGGATCAACATCAGTCCAACAAACTCCAATCCATCCAGCTACTCATAGGAGTAAATTACCTAAAGATTATTGCAATTAATTTCAGATAAAGCATGACTCCATGAGAAGTTCAAACCAATATCATTTACTAACATATGGCAACCAATTATTCTTATTATCTCCTTAAGACAATAACTTAAAGGAACATCGCGCAAACCTCCTGCTCCGAGACACTATTGTTGAAGCTCCCGTGATCTATTGCTGAAACAAGAAACAGTAATAGTATGAGATAGACGGACAGCAAAGAGAAAGACACATATGTGAGCTTATAATAGACAAATCAATCAATCAGCTATATCAATAATATATTAATCCTCTATCCATTCAGCTCTATTCAAGTCCACTTCATTTAGATACTAAATAATTTCCCTTTCAAAGCAAATTAGGGGTTCTAAGTTCTAACAAGCAAAAGATAGCCTAGTGGACGGGCATTCCTCCTCCATCTTTGAGGTTGGGGGTTCGAGTTATCGGAGAGAAGTGATAACGAACCACGTTGACTCCTGAGATTTAGGGGCAAGTTGGGGTTCTGAAGTTATTAAAGACCATTTCACAAAATCAAAACAGAATCTTATGCATCGAACATAAACAGTAAATACCTCAAGTTTCTAAAAACATCTCCGAGAACAACCAACCAAATCTGGAAACACAATTACATTGCCCCATGTGTGTGAAAAATAGCCTTTAGAAGCACAAAATTGCCACGCAAGCAAGTAATTATATTAAAACTGCTTCTTAAAAAGAATTAATAGCGAAAAACTGCAACTTTTAGACGTGCAATTTAAGCCCCACATTGTGCTTTACTAAATAGCTTTGGTCCAATCCCGTGTCTTAACAAAACCACTAAATATGTACAAATGTTAAATTTTGAACCCAGTTACAAGCACTCGAGCTTGCTGTCCTAGAATCCCGAATGCATAAAGTTCAAATCCTGAATCCACCTCTGAATGTACCTAGTGTTGCAACTTACCCATGATTGGAAGAATGTAATTCAGCAAAGACAAAACCTAGAAGAAAATCAAATGGTAGATGTGACTAACCACCGGGCTGCTCTTCGGTCTCATTGAACTCTTTTTCCAGAGCTCGATCAATCATGTTGGCGAAACTACCTTCCTCAGATCTCGCAACGGCAGAGGCATTCAATTCAGCAGTAGCATTGACACCGACGACGACGACGCCATTTTCTGAATCTCCACCAGGTATCGGATCAGCAGAAGAAAAGGAGAAGGAGGACAGGAGGAGGAGAAGGTTCAGGCAGAGCCCTCTTCGCATTGGCATTGCGGTGTTAGAGAGTTAGAGAGGAAAATGTGGTTAGTTAGGGTTTTAGAGAGAGAAATTAAAGGTGCGCAGAGTGCACCCCTCTTGGTGGAAGTTCGCCAACCGACGTTGAGGTCCTTTACAGTTACGTTTTCCCCAAACGGGCAATAAGAGAAAGGGATGGCGGTAGGGGTTGAGTGTGGAGTTAATGTAACCAATAGCATACTAGTATTTCTTCTTTTTCTTAACATTTATAATTATAATTATAATTTATAATGTTGAAATGGTTACAGGTTTTTACGTATTTATATTATTTTTAAAATCTATTAGTTTTTCGGCCACGTTGTATGCGGCGAATCCGGGGGCCCGAATTCCCCATCGTAAGGTCATCTCGCGGTCATGCCCCTCGAAGCTCGGAGCCAAGGTCGAGACTCATCCTCGGTGTTCGTCTAGAGCTGATCCGAAGGGTATAGCATTCCGACTAATGCAGCGTGCTGCATCAAGCAAGGAGGAAGTTCCCAAGTCACGCGACTCGACCTGACAAGGCCGGCCTATCTAAGGCCGGCCTATCTAAGGCCTATTTTCGAGGTGTCACATCTAGCCGTCCTATCTCTGTACTTTCACGGTTAACATGTTTTGTATTACAAGAAATTCCCCTCCTATATAAAGGGGATCCCCACCTCTTTGCAGGGGGCGGATGTTGCTCCATTTCTCCACAAGTGCAACAATATCTCTCTCTCTTTTCTTCTAAGTTGTTGTTCTCACTAACCCGAGGCCGCTTTAGCATTTATCATTCTCTTATTTATTCTTCACTACTTTGTTCAATATTGGTAACATAGAGCCTTGCTCGATCATATCTCTGCCTGTTATCCCATTTTCGACTGCCCCCGATAGTTCGAGATCGATATTAATGTCGGCCCCGAGGTCCCATCGACCATCTATGCACTCGGGCAACGGCCCCCTTTCGGTTTGGTTACTGCCTCTTTTTAACTCGAATTTCATCATTAAACTTAACATTCTTAGCATTAAGTGCTTTAACAACTAGCTCGAGAATAGATCACGTATTTTTAGAATCTCATTTGCAAATTTAATTATTGTTACCATTTTCACTGTAAACAGTTTGGCGCCCACCGTGGAGCTAAAAATAATAGTGATTATTTTCTTGCTGGTTTCGCTGCAAAAACGCGAGTTATCTTTCACACTTCTTCTTGCCCAGAATCTTCACTTTCAGGGCAAGACGCCTGGCTCGGCTAGTGAAATGAGAAGCCGAAACCCCAAAAGCGGCGGAGAAGAGGACACGACCAACTAGAGTCTGGTGTACCCCCGGGTTCAATCCGAGCGAAATGGAGGGGTCCCCAACATAGTGTCCACATGATTAACGGAGGAACTAATGATCACCAAGGACCCAAGTCCAAACGAACAAAAACATCCGCTACAGAAGAGGGACCGGCCCGAAAATGCTTATCCAAAGAAACCCTCATATTCAGCGAAGATGATCTCGAGGCCATGGGGGGAACCGCATAACGATGCGTTGGTGATCTCGTTTCTCTTAAACAACACAAGGATAAAGCGCGTGTTTGTGGACCCGGGCAGTGCGGCCAACATAATCAGGTCAGAAGTAGTAGAACAGCTGGGGTTGCTCGATCAAGTTGTTCCCATCCCTCAAATCCTCCACGGTTTCAACATGATCGGAGAAGCAACGAAAGGAGAAATCACCCTCCCGATCCACACGTTTGGCACAACCCAGAACACCGAGTTTCAGGTCATCGACGGCGACACAAGATACAACGCCTTGCTTGGCAGGCCTTGGATACATAATATATGGGCAGTGCCCTCGACCTTGCACCAGGTGATAAGGTTCCCCACAAGGGACAGCATCACGATGATACATGGAGAACAGCGTGCAGCAAGGGAAATGTTTGCGATCCACCATGAAACACCAATCCCCATACACTCGACCTCAAACGAGGAGAGAAGCATGCAAACTCTTGGACATGACGAGGAAGATTTCATTGCCCCCGAAGAATCGAATGTGACCAAGTCAACAGTCAAAGAGCTGGAGCAGACCGTTCCGATCGAGAACCTCCCGGATTGCAAGGTATACCTGGGAACGGGGCTGACCCCCGAACTCAGGATAGGGTTTATTCAATTTCTTAGTAACAATATTGACTGTTTTGCCTGGTCCCACCTAGATTTGACAGGTATCCCACCAGAAATAACCTCCTACTGGCTGAGCGTCAATCCCAAATTCAAACCCGTGAAGTAGAAGAGGAGACCGTAGTCCGAGGTAAAACACGCCTTCATCAAAGAAGAGGTGGCAAAACTTCTTAAAATCAGATCCATTAGGGAGGTAAAGTATCCTGAATGGCTAGCTAAGGTAGTGGTAGTGCCAAAAAAGGGGAATAAGCTAAGGATGTGCGTAGATTATAAAGATTTAAACAAAGCATGCCCCAAAGATTCCTTCCCGCTGCCTAATATCGATTGTCTAATCGATGCCACAGCCAGCCACGAGACCCTCACCTTCCTCGATGCCTACTCGAGGTACAATCAGATCCAAATGAACCTCGAGGATAGGGAAAAGACCTCGTTTATCACGAAATATGGTACATATTGCTATAACGTGATGCCCTTCAGGCTAAAAAACGTAGGAGCGACATACCAACGCCTAGTTAATAAAATGTTCGAGCATCAAATAGGTAAATCGATGGAAGTATACATTGATGATATGCTAGTTAAATCCCTGCGCACAGAGGACCATCTGACCCATTTGCAGGAAACTTTTAGCATCCTCAGAAGCTACAACATGAAGCTCAATCCCGAAAAGTGTGCCTTCGGAGTAGGCTCGGGCAAATTCCTGGGCTTCATGGTCTCAAACAGGGGAATCGAGATCAATCCCGACAAAATAAGGGCCATCGAAGAAATCACAGTGGTGAACAACGTGAAAGTCATCCAACGGCTGACTAGGTGGATCGCGGCCTTGGGTAGATTCATATCAAGGTCGTCAGACAAGAGCCACCACTTCTTCGCCCTACTCAAAAGAAAGAGCAACTTCGAATGGACTCCGGAATGCCAACACGCTCTGGAAGAACTGAAACGGTACCTGTCTAGCCCGCCTTTGCTGCACACACCCAAGGAGGATGAAACGTTGTACCTATACCTGGCCGTGTCCGAAATAGCAGTGAGCGGTGTATTAGTCCAAAAAGAGCAAGGTACGCAATTTCCTGTGTATTATGTAAGTTGAACCTTGGGGGACGCCGAAACCCAGTACTCCCATCTAGAAAAATTGGCGCTCGCACTAATAAGCGCCTCGCGCAAGCTGAAGCCTTACTTTTAGTGCCACCGCATTTGTGTCCTATCAACTTATCCTCTCCGGAGCATATTGCACAAACCCGAGTTGTCAGGTCGACTGGCCAAATGGGCCATTGAACTCGGAGGGTATGATATCAAGTATCAACCTCGGAAGGCCATTAAATCCCAAATCCTGGTGGATTTTGTGGCCGATTTTTCACCATCCCTCGTCCCCGAGGTAGAGAAGGAACTTTTACTAAAATTATGCACGTACTTCGGGGTATGGACGCTGTTCACGAATGGTGCCACAAACGTCAGAGGATCCGGACTCGGTATAGTCCTAAAGCCGACCGTCGACGGCATAATCCGACAGTCCATAAAAACCACAAAGCTAACTAACAATGAAGCCGAGTATGAGGCTATGATTGCAGGTTTGGAGTTGGTCAAGGGCTTGGGAGTTGAGGTTATCGAGGCAAAATGCGATTCGCTCCTCGTGGTAAGTCAAGTGAACGGGAGCTACGAAGCCCGGGAAGACAGGATGCAAAGGTATCTGGATAAGATCCAAATCACTTTGTGCCACTTTAAAGAATGGACCTTAGTCCATGTACCCCAAGAGTAGAACAGCGAGGCCGATGTCCTGGCGAACCTGGGATTATCTGCTGAAGAGGAAGACCTGCTCCCCGGAGCTGTTGTCCAATTAATCAAGTCCGTGGTCGAGGAAGGTCACACTGAAATTAACTCCACCAGCCTGGCATGGGATTGGAGAAACAAATACATCGTTTATCTGAAGGACGAGAAACTGCTCGCTGATCCAAAAAAATCAAGGGCCTTGCGAACCAAAGTGGCCCGGTTCTCGCTCGACGAAAATGGGGCCCTGTACAGGAGAACTTTCGATGGCCCCCTGGCAGTATGCTTGGGACTGGGCGACATGGATTATGTGCTCCGAGAGATCCGTGAGGGCACTTGCGGAAACCACTCCGGGGCAGACTCCCTAGTCCGAAAAGTAATCAGAGCAGGCTACTACTGGGATAGCATGGAAAGGGACGCCAAGGATTTCGTCCGAAGGTGCGACAAGTGTCAGAGATTCGCCCCCATGATCCACCAACCCGGCGAATGGCTACATTCCATTTTATCACCATGGCCATTTATGAAATGGGGAATAGACATTGTCGGCCCATCGCCAACGGCACCAGGTAAAGCTAAATTCATTTTGTTTATGACTGATTACTTTTCGGAATGGGTGGAAGCGCAGGCCTTCAAAAAAATAAGAGAGAAGGAAGTCATCAACTTTATATGGGAACACATCATATGCCAGTTCGGGATCCCATCCAAAATAACATGCGACAACGGGAGGCAATTCATCGGGAGCAAGGTAACACAGTTCCTTGAGGACAACAAAATCAAAAGGATCCTTTCAATGCCATACCACCCGTGTGCGAATGGCCAGGCCGAATCCACAAATAAAACCATCATTCAAAACCTGAAGAAGAAATTAGAATGCGCCAAGGAAAAATGGCGAGAAACGCTGCCTGAAGTACTGTGGGCATATCAGACAACTCCAAAATCAAGCAAAGGGGAGACACCTTTCTCTCTACTATATGGTGCTAATGCACTAATATCAGTAGAGGTCGGGGAACCAAGCGCCAGATTCTGGCACACCAGCGAAGAGTCAAACCACGAGGCCATGGCAACGGCCCTCGAGCTGCTCGATGAAAGATGGGAGGCCTTGCTGGTTTGGATGGCCGCCCAGAAGCAGAAAATCAAAAGATACTACAACAGGAGAACGAACCTCCGATATTTCGGAATCGGAGACTTCGTCCTAAGGAAGGTTACTCTCAACACCCGAAACCCCAATGAAGGGAAGCTAGGCCAGAATTGGGAAGGGTCGTACCATGTCCTCGGGATGGT